AATTGGACTAGTACAAGTTGTTACAATTTGCAGCAGTACAGAAAAGGACTGTTATTAGGAATGATGTCACAAACTGATTAATACATCTGAGGGGTATTAAATGAAATGTAAGTGATATTTATAATTGGTAAAGACTACAATAAAATAAATAATATGGGATTTTTCTCATTCTCATAAGATAACCGACTATTCACCTTAACACTAATTCTAAAACGACATTACAGATTTGAAGAATGTTAAAAATTTCGCCAACTTAATTTACAAACATACTTATTGGAGGAAACCGTTGACAAGAATAGAAAAGATTGGATAACCAGATAAAAATGAATTGGAATCTGAAAGCTCTACACCGAGAACTGTATGAGCAATGAGTACGACTGCAGAAAAATGAGACCAGTTATTCGTTGAGGTCGTTATAAACAATATAGAGACTTGAATCAGACTGAGTTGCTACATTACATTTACTAATATAATCACAGCCAAGTAAAAGACCAGTTTGGTTTATTTTGATTTAATATTCCAGAGTCCCATCTAACGATCGAATGACTATGGATCCTAATATTTTAGACACCATATTACTCGAACCGACTCCCCTATGGTTATCAAAAAACAATGTTAGCTATTTTTTATAGACCAAGACGATCGGAATCCAAGACCAATTAGTTGGGATTACATCCAGTTCGTAAACTCTGGCTAGCACCTCAGTCAACTTAACAGCTAAAATTGAACTCCTATTCCTAAAAACCACTGATGTACCTAGCAGGTGTGCCTGCTACTCCTTGTTTCAAGTAAGGTACAGCCCTTTCCAAACTTTTTAAGAGCTGGTGTACTTAGGTCAATAACCCATTCATACAACATGAGAATAGAAGGTAAGCAAAAAGTAGTTTGGAGTCAGTTGAATTATTTCGTTGAGTTTTCTCCTCATTATTCCAATCTCCTGAACAGAGACAGATCAGTGTTTTATCTTTCTCTAAAACGGTCTTACTAACAGCTGACTTCTCTAAACCAGTTTATTCGGTGATTCTGAACAGACGTCGCCACCGCTGCCCTTCCGATTTCCTTTTGCTTTGGTTTGCGGTTACTTATCGTTCTTTGGACATCCTGGAATGAGTTTATGAGCAGCTATTAATTAAGTAGAGGCTTTTAAGACCTGATGATCCCAGTCCTTTGGTTCAGATCGCCAATAGACGTTACTATTGTTGCTGTTAAAGACTGCGAATCATGCCAGATAGTCTTTGAATGAACACTACCTACAGAGTCGAGTAAGTGCATAGTTAGTTCTGCCTTAAGAATACCCTTGACCTATTAGTCTTCGATCTACACTCGAAAAGATCTTCTTGTTTCATTGTGTCTGAGCCCAATAAGGTGCAAACAAACACGAAATATGACTAGAGAGTATTTGGAATCGGAACATCTGTTTCGGATAAGGAGCGAGTCTTCAACCAGACATGCTTAGTGATGACTGGCAACAATATGATTTATTTGTGTCCATCGTTGTGACTTCGGTAGTCACGACGTTAGGTGATGTCTTACCTTGTGCTCAAAAGATGATGACTGTTATCAAATTAACAGATATGTATTAGGTATACTAGTAGTAAATTACGTTGACTCTCCAAACCCTCTAGGTGACGTCAAATGAATTAAGACATTGTATGGGTGCTTCAGAGATGCAGCATCTATTGATAACACGAGATTCCAATGTCTCCATTTTCGTTCAACTTCATCATACACCTACTGCTGGAAATAACGCTCTCGTCAACTGAATTCTCGGGCATTGATGTCCTACCAGGAGGTCCACTTATCGGATTAGAATACGCAGATAATACAGTCCTGTTTGGTGAAGATGCCGTTAAAATGCAGTGTTTTGGTAGCACTGGGCAACAATGCCAGGATGTTTGGGATGCGTTTCTCCCCCTCTGAATGCAAGTTGTTGCTGCAGGACTGGGCTGCGTCAACACCTGAACTAAGGATAGGGAGTGAAGTAGTCGAACGCGCTGACAACTTCACTTATCTTGGAAATCTGATCAACCATAATGGGTTGGTGTCTGACGAATCTCAGCATGGATTCAGAAAGCTCGTATGGCTTTTGCCAACTGACGTCACCTATGGCGAATGCGAAACATCAGTCTATCAATCAAGGGACGAGTATACTGCTCAGCATTTCGTTCTGTTCTAATTTACGGCTGCGAAACGTGGCCATGAAGAGTAGAAAACAGCCGTAAGTTACTAGAATTTGACCACAGATGCCTTAAAAATATTGCTGGCGTTTGCTGGGATCACCGGTTAAGTAATAGTGAGGTTAGGCGCATGGTATTAGGGAATGATGGTGAATCAGTTGGTGGATTGTGAATCTTCATCGACTGAGATAGTTGGGCCACGTGTTACGTATGCCTAAACACCGATTACCACGACATGCAATGCTGACTAGCGTTGGAGACGGTTGGAAGGAAGTGAGGGATGGCCAAACCAAGATGTATCATCAGTGCTTGAAGTCACTGACTTCTGGTCTTAGCCATGTTAGTAGATGCAGATTACTTGGTTGGGGTCCACGCGACTATCGTAACCAATGGTTGGTTTCTTCCACGAACTAATTCTTTCTTACAGAACTGTATCCTTACATAAAATCTTTCTTTATCACCATTGAGTTAACTGCTTCTATGAATCCGGTGTTCGTCTTGCCATGCTAATGAGGTGTGGCAACTTGGACCGATGCATATATGTACCTGATCCTACGTTGTAGCTGACTGACTGACTAAGCATTTCAATAGTGTTGAAAGAATGAAAGATCTAAAATGTAGTTCGGAGAAAGATTTAGGGAGGACTGGGATGAAATTTGGTCAAATAACATAGTTAACATTAGTATCATACGTGAACGTAGTCGAAGCTAGAGGATGACTGATCATGGGAACAGAACAAATGTTAGATTATTAAAATGGGATTCGATCGTGAAGATGGTCGCGAGGAGATTTGTTACTCCCCGATTCTCCAAACCTTGGAAGGATATTTCTATTTGGAGGAAGATGTGTAATGGGCGCTTTTGACTAACTGAATGAACCAACAAAACTAGCTGGTTGCTCAAATACTTATAAATACAGTTTGGTGAGAGTCTGAAAGTGGGTTGCTCAAACTACTGAGTCACAGATTCATACTAAAGAGATAAAAGACATTAAATGCTGTCTAAAAGTTCTTAATGATAAGAAATAATTTATACATTAACATGCCTACATTCATGATGATTCTAAATATACCACACCATTCATTCATGTTTTCTATAATTAACGTATGACGAGGTGGGTAGATAGCCTTTAAACACGCTAAGTAAGACCATGAGTCTTACAAGGCATAATACCATATTATTTACACGATGAACAAACTTATTTCAATAACAAGAAAATAGTAAAGTGTGTAAATAAACTTTGTTTTACGATAATTATCACACACAAAAAAAAAACTTGCAAAAAACCACCTTTATTTTACGCATTAATCAATTTTTCTTAGAGCTTGAATAATTAGTAATGTAATTGATTTTTATCGCTCGGTCACGGTGATTAATTGACTACTAATTGTGAAGTATGAATAAGAACTCCTTTTTAAGTACCAATTTTTGACGTACGTGCTTAAAAAACGATTAAAAATATATATAACAGTAGGTATCAAACTGCAGGTTTTAAAGTTTTTATTTATTTCACCGGTACAGATGACAAAATATACTGTTGTAGAGATATATAGTCAGACAGTCAGCTACAACGTAGGACCAGGCACATATATGCATAGGTCCAAGTTGCCATACCTCATGAGATATACAGTCAGTCTATTCAACCTCAAGAAACAAAGTAACACTATTTACATACTTTCAAAAATCCACTCAGCATATAAACAAATCAAAGCTCTCAACCGTATGTCATGTTCTTCAAATTCTGGTATATAAATATTAATGGGTGATAGATTATAAGCTTTACGATAATTGTATTACCACATGAATTGTCGACACAAAAACGTCGCAAACATTTACGATACTATTCCATATATATATATAAACTAGTATGAGTTGGGTAAGGTTAGAAACATTCAACTTAGGAAACACTTACAGACCCAATTCCCTTTCTGTTTTAAAGATAACTGATATCACTAATGCACAATTGCTATAGGTCTAAGATTCAGTGCAAACAACGGAATTTTATTGCGGCGGAAACTATGTGTATATGTACGTGTTTGAACTTAGGTGGAGTTTTGTTCTATGAGCTGGATGATTTAGTCGTGGAGCTTTCATTGTTCGTCTGAACAACATCAGCAGCACAAACTTTATGTAGAAGTGGAGTGAAAAACACTACATCTGATAGAGTGGACGACCCCTTCATCTCCACCTGCACGAACACCAATTAGCAGTCAAACACCATGACATATCCTCACTTATATCAATGCATCTGGACAACTGTGGACATACATTCAACTGGAAAAATGTTGAAATCTTGGATGGAGGTAATACTAAAAGCACCAGGGAATTTTTAGAAGCCTGACACTCAGATCAATCAGTAATCAACAAACTCATCGAAATTGATCTAATCTACCAACCAATCAGAAAAACCATGGACAAATATAGGACTAAGGATCAGATCAAAGGGAGATACAATCAAAATAAAGAGGCAGACAACGACAGGTTAAGGGTCAACAATAACCAACCGAGATAGAGGTAGACAAGACAAGCTGTGAGTCGTAAGTGGAGAAATCCGAACACTTCACTTTTACCTGACGTTAGTGATGATGATGTTTTTCAGAAGAACAATGGAAGCTCTATGACCTAAATAATCCATATGCGCTGTTAAGTTCCTCTACCATGTGCACGAAATAATCTACATAAAGTAGGTACCAAGGATATTGTCTAGAACGGTAATGAAAGCTCTAATATTAAACCATCTAGCTCAGAGACCACAGACTCATATAAAGTAAGCAACTTAACGACAATATAATAAATTTACAGAAGAACACTAAATAGTACTTACTTTGGTCTGAGACAAGCTGTTTTTTCATATATGTTTTTTAAAGCCTCTGGAGTATTGGCATAAAATGGAGCCTTACCAGTTAAACACTGGTAAACAATAATGCCCATACTCCAAATATCTGCTACTGCATCATATTTACGACACATCAGTACTTCAGGAGCCTTATTTTAACAAAAAAGCAATAGAAGATAGTAAAGATTACTAAAGGGAGAAATATTATTATTATTGAATAGATAAATTCGACTATGATTCATACTTGTACTTGGTATCCCTGAAAAAGACTACTATGATTTGTTTAGTAGTACAATCAGTCAGTCAGCTACAACGTAGGACCAGGCACATATATGCATCGGTCCAAGTTGCCATACCTCATTAACACAGCAAGATGGACACTGGATCCATAAAAGTAGTTATTCAGAGGTGGTAATATATAAAAGAAAGATTGCAATAAGGATATAGTACATACATACATACATACATACATACATAGTACAATACATTCCGAGTTGAGGACGTTAGACGACTCTCTGTGTTCGATCATCGCTGTCTCCGAAGGATTGGTGACATTCAGTGGCAACACCATGTCAGTAATGCAGAGGTTCGGCATCGTGTGTTCGGGCACAGAGATGATAATTCAATTGGTGTCACCATCTTGAAACACCGACTTCGGTGGCTTGAACATGTTCTACGAATGTCGTCCCAGAGAATTCCACGTCGTGCATTATTTGCCGACTCTGGGACTGGTTGGAAGAAGCGGAGAGGTGGTCAGTGCATGACATGGTGTCGTGGTATGAAAGAAAGCTGCAAAGGACTGGCTTCTGTCGGTCCTTCACGCCTCCCTGGTTGGGGTCCGAGAGATGGTGCTACACAGTGGCTAGAGACGTTATCAGATATGGCTCAGAATAGAAGCCAGTGGCGATCCTGCTGTAACCTTCTTTTACTTTCTTCATAAAAAGTGGTTGCGTCTCCCTTACCTGAAAGATTTCTTCTGATTGTACCTTTCCGTTCCCTCGTTACTACCACACTACCTTACACCAATCTCTTCGTTATTGTTCTCTTTTTCTTTTTGCGCTCCTTAGTTTTTTTTTATATTTCTCTTCGAATTCTCATTGTTTTGTGTGGCGCATATATATTGGCGCTCTTCTGTACCAATATTCATGTGTTCAAATAAATAAATAAATAAATACATTCTGCAGAAAATACACGCGAATTCCTGTAAATATATTTCGAGAACTAATAAGACGCTTACTAGCATCTCACGTAGCCATAAGCTCAAAGGGTGAATATCCTAACCAATGAATTACTTGGACAGAATTTTGTAGGAAAAGGCAAGGATAATAAGAAGTAGACTGATAAATAACATAGCGCATGATAGTCTAAAGTTTCATACACAACCGTAAACAAATGAAACAAAATACCTAATTACATAAAAAGAAGCGGTATACACATATTAATGCCCAGAGAGTAGTATTTGCAAACGATGTCTAGTCAACAGTCAAGAGGAAACTGACCATATACATAGGTGATCCACACATGGTTACTGCCATCATCCCATCTTGTAAAAATCTAGCGAAGCCAAAATCCGCTGAAATAAAGGGAAAAATCGTGAATAATAAATGATCGAGTTTATACAGTTGTAAAATTGTGTAAAAACCATCTATATATAAAGGTACACCGATGACACTGAGTGGTAAAACCCGTAGCTTACTAATAAAAGCCTTAAAACATGAATGATGAAAACTCAAAAAGGTATGGAGTGAGTATTACCCTGAATTCTGCAAGAACATTATAATGTCTTTGCGCATTCTTTATTTATTTGACAAACAGAGAGGTTAAGACAACTTTACAAAAAAGTTTCGAATCGATTGATATCACTGTTATGGATAAATAATTATATTTGTATGTCACTGAAATGTTACAGCTAGATTCATTAAACAATTGTCAAGTTTATTATCAGTGTTTTGGGGTGAAAATATGAAAAAGGTAACCTTTTGCAATTTACAGTCATAATTATTTATGGCTAAAAGCTTTAAAAATCATCCTGCTGCCCTAGTTTGGTGGGATATTAACACTCAGCATTTGGTTTAACTAACTCCTTTATATATATATACATATATATATATATATCAAAATAGATATGGATTCTGATTATAACAACGAAAAAAAAATCATTATTGTTGGAATGAGTAGCTAAAGGCAAAAAATTCATTGAGGAAAAGAGTGAATATATGTGTAAAACCGAAGTGACTGTTTGATCGACTATTGAACAGACATACAATGAAAATGACATCAAACTTGGTAATTTATAAGTTAGAAACTTTCCTAGCTTCTGCCATTAACCATTGCTGATCACTGGTCTTGGTTAAACATCTTACACATTTCCAATTAAGCTACATTACCAATGTAAGATATTCAAGTATACACTTTGAACAGACCAATTGAGGAAAATGAGAGTATAGGGTTTACTGATGTTCTGATAGCATAAAATGTGGTTATCTTAGATAATCAGATATCTTAAAATTAGTTGCAGAAATTTATGCGAAGAAACCTAATCAGTTAATAAAATCCTAGAACTCCATCGACAGATGTGACTAAGATATGTATATAAGGGTTTAAGGTTGCTGCTTAATCAGTACAGAGAACATACGAGTCGATTCACACAATATGTTGCATACCGAAAAAAATATTTACAAGAAATTCATTGGGAACATGAATAACTTTGGAAAAGAGATGAACACAATTAATAACCAAACGAGGTTCTTACCTTACTTGAAGGACAGAAGTTAACCAGAAATAGAAGTGACATGATGACCACAATCCCTACAGTGGCTCAACAAGATATTACCCGGTTTCAAGTCTCTGTGCATAAAACCTTTCCTATTCATAGCGTCCATAGCCGAGCCAATCTGTATTAGGAAGTGACGGATTGTATCCTCTGGCAAAGTGCGCTTGGCTAAGAAATTAAACAAGGGATATATGATTACCCTGTAAGTATTCGGAATGATCACCACCATTGCCGTACTCCATTACCAAATAGACTCCACTGCTAGAGATCTAAGAATGCAAAAGATTATTAAATATCAAAACATACACTGTGATCATATAGTCGGACGATATTGTCGTGGTTCAGTTCCTTAATTTAATGTGGGAGGTGACTCATATAATCTCACTTTTAAGACATATATTTCCTTGCTAAGAAGCGTCTTCGATTTAAGGACATTTTGATCTTTCAACATGATTTTTATTGCCACAGGTTCCTCTGGATTCTAGGAGGGATGCTAATAATAATTATACATCTTACATTTTAACCTCTCCCTTTATATACGATCGCGAATGCCCCATTACCAGAACATCCGCTGGATTGTATTCATACGCTCCCAAGCTGATCATATTTTACGATGAAGTAATTTAGATGGTGAAATTTGAGATCCAAAAACTAAGTAACGTGACTATGTTGGAAGTTTTTTGACTTCTAGTACGTTGATCTAATTGATAAACTCCAACAACTGGTATATATTAAGATTATTAATAAACACCACATGCCTCTATTACACCCTGAATTTTAGTAACCCTGTCAGAAGTCAGCTGATGACCGAAAACTTTGAAACTGGCTCTGAGTACAACATTCAATATAATTCAATTTGTTCAGATGGTTCTGGATGGAATAAAAGAAGCTTTCGCTAATCGGGCTTCCGTATCTGGTAGCAGTGGACCTACGAGGCCTTAAGGTAGGAACCTAGGTATATTAACGATAAAAAATAAAATGAAAAAAGTTGGTAAATCATAATAATATACTATCCTTAGTCCTTAAGAATATGTCACGTTTGCTATTGAAGGACTCCTGGGCAGTCGCTTGCACTAGCTCAGACGTCAGCGACTCCCAATATTTCATTACTCTTTAAGTGTAGAAGGTGTGTCTACAGTCTGTTTAGTCTTGGGAGACTTTAATGCCAGAAAATTCTTTCGACCATAAACTGGCTGACGTGGTTATCACATTCGCTCTGGTGCATCATGTGTAGGAAGTGAATAGTTACGACCTTAACTCCGAGTCATTTTCACTAGTTCTCATAGTAACCAATTATGAGGAAGACGTCACAAACCTCCATCATATCCCATCCCTAAGTAAATGTGACCACGCAGTTTTAGTCTTTGACTTCCATATAGTTGTATCAGCTCAAGCCATACCGAACGTCTAGAAAGCAAATATGCAATTTATTATGCACTCAGCATCCTCAGAAGATTGGAAAATAGAACCAGAGTCCCTCATTGAAACGACTTCTGATTTATGCATTTATTTTTACATAAAAGCCACTGCAACGTACATACCTTGAACTACATCAAAGTGTCCTAACAACTCTCCACCATGAATCATTAAAGAGATACTGAATAATCACTGTAAAGTATCAAGAATGTGGGAGAGGTGGAGGTTAGGTTTTTCTGACGAGATGAAATCTCATGTTCGGGAAGCTTGAAATACTTGTGCCTCAAACTTTCGCTTGTCAAGAAAGTTGTGTGAAGAAAAATTTGTCAGGTAGTCTACGGAATACTGTAGACGCTTATCCTCGTACATAAACCAGAGGACTAAGGGAAGAGGGAATATCCCAGCATTATAGGAAGACAATAGTTCATCATCATTAGTAGAAGACGATCATGGTAAAGCTCAAGTATTCTCAAATCACTCTAGCAATCTACATGCTGTAGAGATGCCTTCCTTTTCAGTTTGTACACACATTGGACACTATGATCATCAAAGAACTCCATTTATTTGATTTGATAAACGAGCTAGATATAGGCAACTCAACAGACTCAATGAAATGCATCCTAGGTTATTAGAAATCGAGCAAATTGAATCGCGGATTCGCAAAGTATATATTTTATTATATCTATAACACAGGGTCGATCTCCAAAAGAATGAAATGATGTTATAGAATGTTCTATCTTCAAAACAACTAATAGATGCAAATCTGAGAACTATCGACCCATAAGCCTAATCAGTATGTTTAAATATGTTATTTTAGTGTGTCGATGAAAATCGGATTCCTTCTCAATAGCAGCAAGGCTTTGAAACAATTGATTGATGTTTCAATAATTTAGTAGCTCGTGAAAGATGTTATGCTCCTAGTTATTAAAAGTTACCTATAGATGCAGCCTAAATTGACTTCAACTAGGCTTTTGACTAAATTCCTCAAGAACGAGCGTTATACAGGTTATGTCGCATTGGAAGTGAGGGCAATTTATAAATGTGCACGGATGACTCAGAGTTGTCTAGTTAGATAAGTGCATTTGCGTGCAGTTTTGGAACATGTTTTATTCCTCCCGCATGTAAATGATACTCCTGGTACCATATCACCGTTGGTTTTGGTAGATGCTGATGATTTCAAGACACGGAGAGCGACAAACTATCAAGGTGATAGCTAAGGGCTTCATGATGACCCGGAAAAATTGTCTTAATGGCATTTGTCTATAATGGTTTCCAAGTGTATTATGATGCTTATTGGTCACCGTTGTGTCCTTGATCGTTCTGCCCACTTTTGTGCAGAGGATAACTTGTCTAATCTTGATCAAGACCTGGACGCGTTAGGCTGACTGGCTTAACCTTGATGCTTGAGTTCAATGTGAGACCGATTGCTTAGGGTAGAGAGACGAAAATTATCATTTCACCTCGTTTGCTGACAAGCACACGACTGAGAGAAGATAAGTCAACTGAAACACAACCCCATTTATTCCCAATTCTGATCTGGTTCCCGATTTTAGATTAGTGTAAAAAGATACATGGCAGTGAATCATACATCAAACGAAAACTTATGCTCTGTAGAATAGACCAGGGACAAAATTAAATGTTAGTATTTTACATGCTTTGAATTAGATGAAATAACGTCCCGAAAAATAGCTCCCACAGTATGTCTAGGCTTCTTGTTTCTTTGTTGACGTCAGTCACCAAGGTGCAGATACATACACGGTGGATGACATCGAGCTACCTTTTGTCCAGACATATAGTGACCGAATATTCATTCTTAGTCAAGACCTTGAACCTACTGCACACTGCCTTGCAATATCCGTCCAAGTTTTAAGAGCCCTATGGCCATTACGTAGGACTGATACCCATTTCGATGTTAAATGCTTTATGACAGTTTTACCGTATCCTTACGCTCAAAACTTAAGTACTGCACAATCGCGGCTAGCCCCTGTTTTTAAAGAGGCAGTAGGATGTAGGAAAAGCCTCAAAGAACTGCATCTAAGTTAATTTCCGGAATCTCAAGGCTTCTGTATGATGCTACACATGCTAAAAAAACCTATTTCCATTGTTAAGTAGAGGAAACAGAGGCGATTTTATCACCCTCTTTAAATGAATTAGAGATAAATCATCTCCTGAATTAGCAACGACACTCTGAAAGCACCCACAAGCCCAGAAAAATTACTTGTCAGCTGACTATCGTCTATACTATCGAATCATCATCGAGTGGCATTCATCACCTCAATATTGTTTTACGATTCTATTCGTCAACATTTTCAAAGATAATTTGGATCATCTGGGAAACCACCATTGCCATGACAAATACAGGTCACTTAACACCTGTGCTTTTCAAAGTGAATTTGAAACTAATCAGAGAACATCAGTAATAATCAACTACAGCAGATAAATTTCGTGCATCACAAAGCCTTTCTTGAATCTCGAAAGTAGAAGAGAAAGGGGAAGACAAATGAACACATAGTGTCGTGAATTGGAGGCAGACATGAAAGTACGAGTTAAAAATGAAGACAACTAAAAAGGACTGTTTGGGACAAAGTTGAAGTAAAAATCCTGATCGACATCTCATACTTCCACGAGAAATAACAGAAGTAAGCTTTTTCGCCAAACCATCCACTTATACCTAACATATTTGTCTTGTAAGCCAGGTCAGCAGACGTTTAAGTGTTTGCTGGATATAATTCAGACCAAGAAAAACTTACAATCATCAATTAGTTCATACCACTAAGCTGGCGTATGCATTCCTCCTGTCCATTTCTTTCCTACCAAGCAAGCCACTTTTATGGTAGGATTTCATTCGTTTGGTGTGGAAACCAAAGGAGCAAGATTATTTGGCCACCTCAAAAGGGCAATCCAGACTTGAGTAACTATGGATTTGAATTTCACGTCAGACGAGAACAATATTACGGTTTGTATGTTGTAGACTCGGTAAATACAATATTAGCTCCAGTGACAGCACTTAAAATTTTACTTAGATACACACCACTAAGTAATTTTCATAAGTCAGGACGGAGTGTCTGTCCCTGCTGATTTATATAGCGGTGAGGGGCTATTTCAAGTGTATTGTATGTTTGTACTATAAGGTCTTTCAGGAAGGAAAATTGCGTTGAATTTCAGATATCGTCGACTTTGTTTAGAAATTAGTGAAACGACAAGTTATTCTATTCTATTTGATACTAGGACCTTTATTACCTTGCACGTCTTATATTGTGGTGCGGTTGAGCTATCAGTTGATAAATATGCACGTTGCAGACTTAAGTCAGGGAGGCAATCTGGCTAGATCAACATGTGACCAGCAATGGTGTGTGCATTGACTAACAGGCTGGAAGAGTATCTTCAACAAAATTACACATTCGACATCTACTATGGGAAGATATTATTACACCTGAGATCTTCAGCTCTTCTAAATGGAATAAAGTTAAAATTCTTCCATGAGATTATCTCAGCAGTCGCATAATATTCATTTTTCCCATCGTCACCAAATAACAAACCGTCCAGCCGTTTCGAAATATCTGGAAATGGTCTATTGAGCAATCAATAAGATCTTTAAACACATATCAGAACAAAACACTGAATCTGAGTGGATTTGTCCAATATACCTGTGAGCAGCATGTGAAACTTTTGTCAAATGGTTTGAGAATTTCACCCCCTGTACTACCTATTTATCTAGGCAATAGAACATATGCTTAGGTCGAGCACCGTACTCTTCAGTAGAAACGTAGGCGTAGTAGTAAAGCCGATGTCTGAAACGGACATAGATCTACCTTTCAGCTCCGTTCAAATTGAAGCATTTCTTAACTTCGTATAAATTTCTTCAGATGTTCACGTACAACACTGGTCGTTTTTATGTGTACGTGATTGTTCACCAATAAGAGATTAAATACATATCTTTAGAGTACATTTTCTTGTTGAGCCTCGTTCGATGAAACTAGGTAGGATACGTAGCCTTTCTTCATGTTACACCTCGAACCGGGTGTCTGAGAAAATTTTTCTGACTCAATTCATATTTGGCTTTGATCACTACTGTTGCACAACGGGGTCAGCCTAAGCGTAATATATGAAATTAAATAGGGTTTATATTTTATGGTTCAGTCATCGTATGTCATAAGTCAGTGTAGTCCCAAAAAGTAAACGGAACACTGAGAATTCATTACTTTCTCGGTAACGAACAAAAAGACAGATCAAAGACACGTAGTTCTTAAGTTTACATACTTTGTAAATTACATGTTACCTCAGTAAATATATCTATTTCACACTTAGTACTATCCGTGCTAGTGACAAACCAAAACAGTGCCTCAATACTTCACAAGTGCATAGAGTCAGAAACACTGTGGTCAAAATATAAAGCGAGGTACATTAGAGGTAAAACCATTCAAATTAAAGCTTGAGTTGTGCCTTCAGCCACATCATTTGATGACTAATGGGATCACGTTTCACGTTCGCGGGAATACGAACTATGAGTTAAAAAGCCACAAGAAAATCGGCACAGGACTGGAATATGGAAAATTTTTTAGTCAGCTCAGAAATAGCTGCCAGGGAAAGTTCCCCATAAAAGTACACTTTTACTTACGTTTGAAAAGAGCAAATTCATAGATTTCAAGTAAACTACCAATTTTTAAATCTTAGGATTCTTAAGAGGAATGCTGGTAAAAAAACCACAAGTATTCAGAGTTTGACAACGCCCACACACGTAACACCTTTACACACAAAGTATGCCAACCCATTCATTTCAGAAGAGAAGAGGTTGAGAGACATATTTGGACGGTTATCGATATCTCGGGAGGCGTTTGATCCAAGCTCAGTCAGTCAGGTACAACGTAGGACCGGACACATATGTATCGGTCCAAGTAACCGTACCTCATTAGCACACCAAGATGAACACCGAATTCATAGTGGTTAATTCAATGGTGGTAATATAAAAAAGGAGGATTGCATATAAGGATATAGTAAAGAAATAATTAGTTGGTCCAAGCTAGCCAACGAATGTAGGAGATATGTAGCACGGCGTTCCCACTCATGATCTGGTGCTGATGAGTGACCAAGCACCTCCAACTAGATGTGCCCATTAAAACTGAGGTTAGAATCAAATGTCGAAGACTTACAGAACCATACGACAAAACTACATCAAATCAATTAGTTCTGCCTTGTCTAAGTGATCTATTAAACTATTGTCTATTATTACACTAATCCCTGTAATTTATAAAAAAGTATATGTACATTGAACAAAACCATATTACTAATTATAATGAAGAGAAATATCTCACATTCCTTGAAACATAACAAGTAATAAAGGCGAACTATTGAGACTACTTGAAGACAGAATATAACGAAACAATACTACATCAAATATAATTTAAATTTTGAAATATATAGAAAGCCATTCGTTTTATTTAAGAATTCTGAAAGAATACATGGCCACACAGAATTCAACTTACACAAACTAATCTCAGAATAAACTTAGTAATACCAAAGTTAGGTATATATAAATGTTACAAGATCAATTGGACACATCATTAAGTTCGGAGTTAGACTTTGATGTGATTTCTCCAGACGAGCATTCAAAGTGTTCTAGTCTACGTTTACGAACTTCCGTAAATTCCGAGTCTTCTAGATACAAAAATACAAATTAAGAGGAAAAAAGGATGAAATGCAGGTGAAATAAAATATTGGTCCAGTTGGTTTATCATGTTTTAATGTAACGCCAATGACTTATGATGTACCACAATGACCTTCAATGAACGTGAGAGAAACTTAAATTGTTAAATATAATGGCGGAAATTTGGAACTCCTGAGTTCAATCTTTGACCATGTAGTAAATACAAACTGAAATTTATAGAACCAAACCATGCAAGTACCGATACTTTAAAGATAAATAAATCGTTCAGCAAAAACCTCAGATTTGGTTATCAGAAGAGCTAATCGAAAATTCATGTTCTTTGTCATTAAAAGCCGTTATTTTCCAGATGAATTCGAGATCCGCTTTTAACTATGCAGTTAAAATAAAGAAATATTTTCAATAACAAAACTACCACGATCAACATAAAACACAAGATTAGAGGACTTACCCCCAAAATCTAACACATCATTGCTACCTCTAGTTAACCCAAGCTCGTTAACACCCTAATAGTTCCAATTCAAGATTCTGATAGGAGAATACTGGTGATAAAATATCTGTACTCATTTTCGCCATTTACTTTTAAATTCCATACCTTACAGTCATTTTGAAAAATAAAGTAGTAGATTGTGTGACTGTAGTTTTTTCCTGATGATTGATCATCAAATGAAGCAAATCGATGCCTTTATATTCCTACTAGAAACAGAAATATCTCCCAGAAACCATAACGGAATTTATTTAGATTAGATTTCCAATGAACAGTTTTTCATTATTCTTAAAAAAGACATAGAGACTCAATTTCGAGATTACGAAATTCACATTTAGAAGCTTATTCTTGAGGAAACCCTGAACAACAATTCCCCTCTATTTCTTCATGTCTGAAATTGAGAGGAAGATATAAAACTCATTTTACATAATCTTAACTATGATTGAAACCTAATTGACGTTTTCGTATGAATTATTTTTCAGTTTTAACTAAGCGGTAAATTAATTTGTAACTATTCTCTTTATGTTGTAACGGAGAGGTTATCCAATCCTAAAGACTAATCAGTCCTGGTGGTTTATGCCTTAGTGTTACATTCACAGTTTCAGTCATTCATTGTGAAAGCTGTTTACTTTCTTGTTGTTTTTTAAGATAACTTCGTAAAACATTTTTCCGGAAAGTTTTTTTAAAACTGAAACATATCATTTTCCATTCATCATATGTAAGAAGAACAAGTAAATAGTTTTAACTCAACTACATTTTTAATCATCATGAAGGCATCTGAGGAATGGAAAGGAATGAGAACAAATTTCTCTTCCATAGCTTGAATATCAAGATGCCAAGGCTGTTCCATTAAAAAAATCAAAACTAGAATAAGAAGTTTACTTACCTGATGCAAGGGGACTCTTACCATCCGAGTCTAACCTGAAATAGAATGAAATGTTAGTTGAAAAACACATAAATAGCAATCATGTAGATTTGCTATCATAAAATAGTGAGAACCAGAAATATTAGATCACCAACTAAATGGCAGCTACAATGAGGAACTAACACTGACAGTTGTTATTGACACCTCAGAGATTTCGTTTTTTGAATTAGGATCTTTGCCTCATGTGAGCAGATTGATTTTGTATCTAGACAGTCTCTAGTGTAAGAATTAAAATATAAGAAAACTATAAGAAATACAGAACTTATTTGAAAATAATCTGTCTACTGACTAGTCAGATGATAGGTAGACACATGTGGTCCAGATATTAGAAACAACCGACATAATGATGATTTTAAATGACCACTGAGCCACCTGGTATTAAATCGGAAACATTATGGGAACTAATATGTATAAATATTATTCGTCACAAAATAAAAACCAAATAAGTTTACTGGGATGATCTTAAGGTGAATGCTACAGAACACATGTACTTGGGTTTCCATGGAACTCAACAAAAAATAACTAAAATAAAGTAATATTTAATAAATATCCATAAAAATACGAATATATCACTGAATATTTCCAACGGTATTAACAAATCACGTAATTTCTTACAACAAAATCCAGTAATCAGATATTTACATTAAAGTTCACAAAATTTAGGCTCCAAATTGAAACTAATCACTTAAGACAGTTTATTATCTCTAATATGTATTCATCGCGGAATATGTAAATAAACAGCTGAACCAACTCACGTGAGCTAACTTTAGAAAAAAGGTAGGTAACCGCTTAGGTTGCATGACCAGAAAACCATCGTGATTGGGTAACTCTCATGATTAAAAGTTCAAATTTCATAAAATATGTTCTAATTAAACGAAATGTATGACTTTCGGGACATGACATGCAAGAATGAGAAAACATTAAAACTGTTTGCATTGAAGTATTGTGCACTCCATCATGTATATACAAACTAACAAAGCAATAAGTCAAGGTTGTCATAGACTGGAGAAAAATATATATATTATATAACCACCAGAACTCACACAAACACCAGACATACATATTTCTTCACCCTTCTAGACTTCAATAAAAGGATATAACCAACACTACAGGGGTGTTACACTGCGAAGATGCAAATTACAATGCCATTCATCAATTTAGATTTGAGTAGTTTGCTTATCATTGGAGAGTAAGGCGATATTATTATCATGAGCAAAGTCAAAATCTTCTTTTGAATAACAGGTTTACATCAAAACCGTGCACTACCCTGAGGAAATCATTGATGACAAAATTGAAGAAAAAATGACCATAACAGAGAAGCCCACTTAGGGGAATTCTAGTATTTACCCAGCTGTTCCTAGCACCAGGCAACTACATACTCCCTCTAACTTAGCATTAACACCTGATCCACATAAGGGAAGTGAACATAATTTCCATGGTACAGTCACCACATCACATGTTCGTGGACTGAACATGCAATCAGTCATGACTCAACATATAAATAGAACACCAGAATAGTACGTCAATAAGTATATTCAACAATACATTTTAAGTTAGTGTAGTCCACAAATGGGTAGCATTTTGCAAACTTTGGTTATCGAGTGTTCAGATCCCAAAACAATCTTAAAGTTACTAGCGTGCAGTTTAATTTCCACAATTTTGAATTAGTATCACCTTTTCACCAAAAAATATCCACGTTATGTGCTGTACATTCTTGCTACTATCAAATACACTTTTTCCTTACTGGTTTGCAAACATTTAATTAGCAATGTTTCCACACCATAAACAAAGCTGTTTATTTGCCGGATAGAGATTGGACTAAAGCATGTTACATGTAGGATTGTGTTGGACAAAGCTGATTCACCACTTCCCAGCCAATTAGCGGATACTCATACTTGAAGACTCTAGAATCTTCTTGCGTAAAACTATGAATATACGAACGTTTTGCTTATCGTGATTCTTAATTCCATTCAATCTTGTTTATTTAAGATATATTTACGTTCCTGTTCGACCGTGTTCTGATTTGAGGACTAGTCGAGTGGAGTAACGTGTCCGAGTGCTAAACAATAGGATTAGCTGGGTCGCAATAAAAGAGATTATAACAGCGTTATAGCTGTTTACTTGAATGACCTTTGGAAAACCAAACAATTCTCACCACGAGTTGGATTTTGTGAGGATTAACTAGGACTGAGGAAGAGATTAAGTCCTTTCCGTTCGTCTTTCATTGTAGTCCGTGATACTATTTCTCGACCATGTCGCCAGGATCCATTGGGTTTATGAAACATTTAAATCTTTCAAAGTTCCTGTCGAAAATACTTTTTGTATTAGGGTTACCGGCTAGAAGTGAGAAGACTATATACAAAAGCGGTTACATGACCAACCACCCCAATATGGGTACTTTCATCACACAACATAATGACTGACGGTTTTGACAGTTTTTCACGGCAAACGAACAACTTCTAAGAACTTGTGTAACAAGAGCAAATAATATACTGTCAATCAACAAATAACCAGAATATCACTAGGGATTTTCGAAAAAAACATAATGTATTGAATAACTGGCAAAACAGTTTCTAATGTGAGATGAAACCATCAGTTTCCACGTCAATTAACAGAGCGAAATGCTTCAAGTTGAACAAATCACTAAGGAGGACTGAATATCTAGCACTGTTAGTTATTCAAATTCAGGAAGACACACGGATGGGACCAACTAGAAATGAAACCACCTAATATTACATTGACTGAATTTTACATACAGAGCATAGAAAAAGAGTGACTTAATTTTCAGTGAACAATATCTGTATCAGTCGTAGCCTATAAAAAAACAGAATGAAATTATTTTAGAAGTATATTCAAAAACTAGTTCAACGGGACTATACAAAAAAGTAAACATAGATTCACTTTGAAAATTGCTTCAGTACATGAAAATGTGTTGGGACCAAAAGTCAGACGGCTTTGGTAATCGGGAGATATAATAATCATACAAACGGAAATAATTAAGGTGAATCAGAAAACTGCTTACTGAGAATTTACATCACTACTTGAGGCTCCCTTTCCTTCATTATTTGATCCCACATCGTCGGTGTTGAGGACAGTGTTAATAGAAGTAATAGGTTCTAATTCACTTGGAGGAGCGCTAGCCGCATTGAGGTAAGCATTCATTTGCAGGACAGCTGCATTCAACAGTACATTTATTTGACGTAAAGCGGTGAAACGGGCTTCAGCACTGGCACGAAGACGAGCTTCATCAGTTGATTCAGGTGGTCCAGAGGGCGGTTCTGGCATAGGAGTATTTCCACTAGAGAACAAGTTACCTAAGCGGAGTGTGACACAATGGTTACATTAATGAGAATTGGTAGGTAGGAAAATGAGCAAAGCCTAATTTACGGAATACTATAAAGTTACACAACGTACTCATAGGCTAAGTAACATTCGAAATAAAAACATACCGTGCACTAATTTAAACTATATCTTTCGTTTAAGACGATCAGTGATCATTCTTGGCTTTCTAAATTAATTTTTTTAAAGTCAGAGAACAACCAATCACAGTCATGATTTTACTATCCTAACAGTCAATAAGTTCGTAAAATCACATAACAGGCAGACAATCAGATAACACCCTTCTTACTTAAAAGGTCAAAAATACAAATATAGGGGATATATACTTTACTGCTTCGAATTAATCGTCCATGAATGTACAGTGTCGATGACAAATTCCCAAGATAGAATATGCTTCTACAGAAAGTTGAGATATCTAAGTGAAAACAGGTAATTTAAATCTTCATGTGAATGAAATTAGCAAATACTAATAAAAGTTGTCTCGAAAACCAAATGGAGCTGAGTCTGTCGGTCACTTTTTACATATTTTGTTTTAAATATGACTGATTATAAACACAGGATCCCGATAGTGCAAGATACATTGACAATATACTTTGAAAGTTGGATAGTCCAAAATTACAAGCAGAATGCATTAAGATATTTATTACACACATTACAGTCCACTTTAGCTGTTCTAACATCAAATAGTATGAATGTAAAAATAAAGTAAAAACTGAGCTTGCGAGATCGATATCGAATTAAAATGATATACAACATTCAAACTGTGTGGTTATAAACAGAATGTTCCGTTAAAACAGTGTAATAGACAATCCACCTAACTTACCAGGGTATATTATAGGCATCCCCATAAAGGGTGGTATGTATAAAGGAGGCACAGACGGAAAGACTGTCTGAGCTTGTGTAGTTGTTGAATTATTAGTAGGAGGAATAAATGGTGGATAAAACGGGAATGCATTGGCAGGAGGCTAAATAACAAACAAAATATTGAACAACAGTAACAATATGTGATAACACGAACAATTACTTAATCGATTGGAGAGCAACTGGTCGCCTGTAACATGTAATCACATCCTAAGTGACTATATAACTTGGCCAATTAATTATATTTATTGATTGTAATTACTTAATTGCATGATATTGTAAATGTGTTCACACAGTAAGATATTCACCAGTTGATGTTAAATACTGAACAGCTAAAATTATATGAAACTGACTGTATATAAATTATATAAAAATCAGTGTATTCGCGTATCTCCAGTGTCAAATAAATCCATATCAGAAGTCCTTGTGCGTTCACTAAACGTCGTTGGATTCGGGGTTTTCAGTACTAGACAAAAGTCATCTAAGAATTTCCGCGGATATAACAATGTTATGTTGAAAACGAAAGTATAACTAGGTAAACGTAACTATGTGCCACCTCCCCAAACAATAACAATTTCAACTATTCTGTAAATGAAAAACAGGTGTCAAAAGATATTAAGGAGAAATCTTTTTAATCCTTGATTAAAGAATAGAAGCTTAGATATTTGTCGAAATTAAGCAGGGAGGTATTTATAAATTAATCACCCCAGCCTCGATTCTCTTCCAGAAACTCATCCAGTTGAATAAAATGTGAATCTACATTTCTAATGACTTACATATATTCTGCCTTACCTCACTAAAAGCCCCAATTATTTTCACAAATTCCAAAATATTATTCCAGAATATCCTCTCTAAATGAACCGACCCTAGATCTTAATCACTATGCAACAAATTTACTTTTAAATAGGACAGCCCAATAATAGACTTCGTTTTTATTAGTTCATGTGTCACGCAAATATAGCTTTCATGCTCCCATGGTCTCATATCACACGCTAGTGAACAGTATAATACTAATTGGTCAGCAAATAGGGAAAAGAAATAGTTAATAATTAGCACAAAATTCCGTGGCTTAAAGCAGACTAAGAAGTCCTAAATTTAGGGGGACCGAAACCGAGAAGCTAGATAAAAATTTGTGTGCTCCACTTTGAGTCACATTGCATGCAAACATTGGAATAACTATACGTCTGCGCAAACCAAGTTCAGTAACGTTTGAACCTGTGGCCCGACGGCCCTAAACCAAATCCCATACCTATTAAGTTATTGGTCCACTTAAAGTAAAGCGAATTAATCTTAAGCATTTTATTGTTCCTATATTATTATTATTATTATTATCATTATGTTTTTTAGTTAGAATTGTTCGCAAAGAATGGGTGACTTGTCACCATAAGTCTGAAGGTCAACTGGTGAAGCTTACCATCCATGGCACTGATAAGTTTTGATTATTAGCTGCAATAGATGGTGTCGCAGTTGAATTAGATGGACCAGAAGTTGTTGAGCTTTCTGGTTGTGTATTATTGGTAGTTGCTGAACGATGAGGTTGTTGTCGCTGTCTTTCTTGCACTCTAGCTTCACGTATGACATCCATTCGACAGGTTGGACAAGTCTGTTGACGTTGAAACCACGAACGTAGACAACCAAAATGGAAAATGTGAGAACAAGGTAACCTTTTAAGAGCTGAAGTCCCAACCGATGGTATATTATCTGTCTGAAGATTCATTTCTTCACGACAGATTATGCAAACAGTATCTGAGGAGGAAGCCAAATCATCTGGAGTGGCATCGCGGAAAACTGTGTTCATGTATCGAATGGCACGACGTGACATCAACATATCCTTTACATAAAAGAATAATCAAAGAATCTCAAGTTATATTATACTTACAGTAATCACACATAAAACTGATGATAGGTGATAATGTAAATGAATGTAAAACCTTATGTCTCTTAAATAAGAGCTAATTACGCAAACGGTATTATACAACGAATGAGCACCATATTTACTGTTAGGTAAACGTCAGACGAAATCCTTTCTTGGTGTATAATTTTCATAGGGAGGAATACGGATGAGCCTGTAACTCCATAATTATTAAGAACATAGTAGCTTTGATGAACTACTGTTACAATTGTCATAACAGAAAAGGGTTAAGAAAATTGAAACGTATCTCACCAGTAGCTAGTCTGTAAATAAAAGCCAACACCCACGATTGTTAAATGCCCAAGGATATATTACCACAGTTGAACAAACTACTTCTGTGAATTTGGTGTTCATCTTGTTGTGCTAACGAGGTATGGTATCTTGAACCGATGTACATATGTGCCTGGTCTTACATTGTAGCTGACTGACTGACTGACAAGAATATATTGAGATAATTGGTAAGAATTATTTTGAGTGGGGAAAATATTTTACAACAAACAAACTCTAAAGAAAGAAATTTTAGTTTAGTTCCCATGGTTTCGGCAGCAGTTCAAGTGCATATTCCAAAAAACTGCAACTCTTCCATAACTCAGAAGCATATGAGAACCAATCAAATCTGTTTTTGTAAATCCCATTGAGATTAGTTTTCACTTAGATTATGCACTGTCAGTGTCGTATATAAGGTTAAGGGCAAAGAAGTTTTTCATTACTTTAGGTAACAGTCAGATGTACAGGAAAAAACTCATTTCGATTATTTATCAAGAACACGTTTATGAACACGGCTTGCAGCTATACTTTGAGTGAGGGGTGGGTTGGGCGGAATTTAAACCTTAGATCTACTGGAAGAAAGATGGTTTCCTTGATCTCTAAGCACCGGAATAAAACAAGATTAACGAACAAATATTGATAACGTTTGATGAAGGTATAGATTTCATTAACAGATCTAAATCTTGGTTATTGAGTTAAAATTTACCTTAGAAACACAAACAAAATATTCAACGAGCTGTCAACTTGAACCGATGCATATACATGGCAGGTTCTACGTTGTGAATAACTATAAACTGACCTACATAATCTTACTAGTTTACGGAAAATCGAGTGGGCAGTGCTCATGAGCTTACTGATATGAGTATAGAACAAAGTAAAAAATAGATATGTTTCCCAGCTGAGATGATTCGTTTTCGTTTGTACACTTTTAGATGTTCATCGCATTAGGTTTGTCTGACTTCGGTATGTTATTTGGTCTTCTTGTGCGGAAAATATTAGCTGATGAGACAATTACGTATGTTTCACACTTGCAAATGTTATTTATCACCAGTCAGTCACGACGTAGAACCTGTACGCATGTACATTGGTTCAAGTTGCCACACTCCTTTAGCACAGAAAGATGAAGTTGTCAGGCCAAATCCCAAAATAGTGACAGTCTTCTATCGAGCCCCTTCAACGATAACTAATGGCAATGTGACCTACTGCAGTCCATTGATAAGTCAATTACGGAGGTTACCACGTGAGACGATGTCTCTCCCTGTGTTTGAAGTTTGTGTTTGCCAAAAATAGATGGTTATCTGAGCATAGTTGCAACAGACGGTTGGCATTATCTGTTCGCTGAGCCGCAACACCTTAAGATCCGCCTAAGTACCTTTCGGTTCGGTTTAGTTTACCTAATTGAGCCCTGAAATCACTCGCTACTATCACTACATTAAGGCTTTTGTTTTTGAATGAAGTTGGATAGCTTCCTATAAAATTAATCTTTAACTTCATCAGAGCTGCAATCAATGGAAGCGTAGGCAGAGACAACAAACAAGCAAAGGCGTGTATCCCTATCTTTTCGAGTTCTTACTGTCTCGTTTAGCTGGACAGTGCACAAGCGAATATCTATTGGAATAATGTCTAGGAGATCCTCTTCTACTTTAGAACTCAATGTTGTATATGCACCAGCGAGGCCTCGGAAAAAATGGCAGTGAGGTTTTCAGGTACTCGGAAGGTAAATCGTGCTGTTTGTTCACACTGATAAAGTGAGATCAAATGAATGACTGTACTTGTATCCTGTATAGGAGATTCGGAGACGTAGAAAGCATCAAAAGAGTGAGATACTAGAGTCCTAGCTAAAGAAGACTGTTTCCCTATCTGACACAAGGTTCGAACACTTAAAGCTCTAACGTTTAGTTTAGAGAGTGGTTTTAGGAGACCAGCAATAACATTTTGTGAACCCAAATAGTTAGCATTGGTGGCGCATGATGATAAAGATAAACGAGGTCGGAAGAATTAAGGGGTGAGGAAGGGATTCGATCATCAATAAGATGATCTCGGATGCTGATAGAAGTATGAAGGCGGTTGTCCACACTGCTGGAGGATATTTCTTCTTGAGAGGACTGAAAAAAGTTAAATTAGTGGTGTTCTTAGCGACCTGAAAGCGTGACGCATAGCCCGAGAGACAACTGCTTGTGGCTGGTCGTGCACAGCCTTTTTTAGAAAATTTTCGGTGTTAGATCCCCACTTAAAAATGCCTTACTGCTAGATACGGAAATCCATGGGTTAAAATAATTTGTGACAGCCCCTTCCATAATGAGAAGGCAGCATCGCTGCAGATGCTGGTTGTCTAATGGAAACACGTTACTGGTGTCACACTCCTCTACAGTCAGCAGTACGACTTCACCCTCTGACCTTAAGTTTCTACTTTTAGTCATACCGCTCTCCGACCGACCTGCCTGTCATAGTAGGACCTAAAGAAACATGCGTTCCAGCCAATATAGGTTGGATAAGTCCACGACAGGCAAGCCCGACTAACGTGTTAAGGTAGTAGCTACGGTCGGGTTATTTATCACCAATTTCATTTCCAAGTGAAATGAATTCTTCATGTTTTGGGTGTCTGGACTGTGACTTTTATCAGACTGCGTTATTAATATTGGGTAAGTAATAGTATTCGAACAACAGTTAGTAAAAAAATCCCAAAAAACTAATGATAGTATTATTTCAGAGTCGACAAAAGGATCCCCATCAACAAATTATGATGATATCTTTGTAATATTTATGTACGATTGTTTTTAAATTTGCAATAACAGATTGAGCATATGGATCTAAATGTTTAACTTATTTTTTAACATTTATGCCTTAATATATTGTAAGTGAGTTTTTCGCTTGTATACTGATAAATCTAACGCAACCAAACAAATATGCAAGATCTTTATTGAAGGTTAGGAAGAATAGTGTTCAGCGACAGAATGTACATGTTTTGAATCACGACGTGAAACTGACCAGAACATAAAGACAATTCATATACGATTGTGTTAGTCATACATGTAAGAATGTATAACCAAGATCACGAATACTACGAAATCTTTACAGTCAAAAACTTACTCGAATCGCCTTTTTTAGTGATCTGATGCTAAGATAGATAGGTCGCGCGATAAATAAAGGAAACGGATGCAGTGACCACATGATGAACGTAAACTCAACGTACACAGCCAAACGAATAAATCCAATGAGAATATCCACATATAAGAGATACGTAGCTTTCTTATTCCAGGAATGTTCTCGCATAGAGTCAATCGAATGTAAAATATAACGTACAGTAGTCGATAGAAGACTCAATATTAAAATGAAATACTGAAAATATTTAAAAACAAATAATCCAGTGTTAAATTAAACCTATTTAAACAAGTCGCTTGCATGAAGTACATAAAAACACTTAGAATATAATAATAGAGAATGGATTTTCTAAGTAATACATCCTTATTGCTTGCCTATAATGACAGCTGTACTATGTCGTCAGTAAACAGTGAGTGAAGACAACAGCCCAATCAATCTACGTCGAACTTAAGAATATGGAAAACGCGGTACTACGCTGGATATTATGGTTGAAGGGAAGACAGAAAACTTCATAACAAAATATTTTGGCCGTCTACATCGTGTGTAATATTCATGCTGTCGAAATAATATCTAACTTATTGATAGAACTCTACCTAATCGTGAATTAATTTAAAATATTCAGTTTGTAAAAACATGGAATAGTTTAAGTGAATATGGAACTATCATAAGGGTAACAAGATGTTTGGGATTTTTAAAAAGGTGAGAAGTGAATCTCCAACACTGTGATTAACGGTGAGTTATTTGATGCACGATCCGTAATCAGTGATCATCAACCTTTAGAGGGCTCCAGACATGTCAACACTGTACCATGGTGCAAACGTAGTCGACAGTATGGAAATCTTAATGACTTATTTAACCTTGAATGAAAAATGACGTCATAAATTACGAGAAAATAACTTCAAAACACCTAGAACTACTCATTTTTAAAAATATTGGTAATAATATATTCGGGAAACGACAGTTTGCATGACAGTATGCAGGTACGATCAGGTTTATATGCATTCCATAATAGTCTTTTC